TTGCCCTTGCACCTCCCCATGTAATACATCGCGTAGATGGGGGTATCGCAATTGATCCATGGGCTTAGAGAGCGAAAGGCCCGTGGAGAGGTATCTTCTATCGGGTGGCTGTATAATCCGTTGTCCTCTTAGAAGCTTGGAGAGGATCCCTCTCGAAAAGCTCTTCTTTGGTTCATTATGAGATATTTCTAGATGTCTTGGATATTGTGTATTACGGTATCATATACTAAGGGCATTGTATTTAATATAACCTGACTTGGCACCGAGATGAGATTCATCCTCTTCTCTTCGGCCTCTAATCTACTGGAGTGTTGGCTAGATGTGTGCTAGATGTGTGGTGGCAAACACGTAATTTCCGAAATATTTGTTTTCTTTTGATCGACAAATTGACCAATTTGACTCTGGCTTCCCTGTGCTTTGCGCCTTTCCCCCTGGCAGGTTTTTTCCCACCAACCTTCCCACCATTTCTCTCAGCTAAGCTCTGCCCACACATCTGGGTTAGGACCCGGACCGATAATAATACTAAAAAGCCCTGTCTAGACTGTGTTAGACGTTTTGGTGGCGGAGATAACCCGGGCACGGCGGTGTATCAATATCATTTCCCGGAATCTGTGGATCACTAGCCCTCCCGCCTTCCGTGATGCCATCTGCTGAGACCTGACGTTTACGAGGCCCGCCGCAGATCCCACTCACCAAGGTTTCCATTGCTCTTGCGAACCGCTGCCAGAGAGATGGGCGATTGTCCTGCCGTGTCCCTACTTCTCTTCCCTTTCTATGCGCCCTCACCTGCGAGGATCGGATGAGGCGCAGATGTCTATCCAACTCTGCACTCATGTCAAAGAGCTTCTCCATCGAGCGCTGGAAGGATTGGCGGGCGCCGCCATAGGGAATCCTGCCGACGTCCAAGGCGGCATTAATGCTCTCCATCTTTTCAATTATCCTCTCCACCTCGCGCATGTACGTCGATAGGTTGGGGGGGTTCGCATGGGCGAGAATCTCATGAGACTTCTGTTCCAGTTGGTCCCGAACCCGGTAGGCCATCGCGATCTGCCACCCTAAGGGAGATGGGGGGGGCGGTGAGGGAGAAAAAGATTCTCTATGGAGCGTTCCGGACAACTTTGAAACATTTGGCCCCAAGGCTTCTACCATACCTGCAGATATTTTGGTGTGAGCTGAGCGGTTTTTAGTGGTATAGGTGGTTACTGGGCAGTGTAGGCAGTGGCAATCTGAGGGTGTGGTGGTAGTGGTGTTAGTGGTAGTTGTGCTAAAGGAAGTTGGTGGTACTTTCTAGCGAATTTTAAACGCTTTATAATAGGGGACTTTCAAGACATGAAAGAGTCTACGAATATTTAAATCTTGAATAAGAGGTCTTTCATATAATTTAGGGCCCACGATTTCTCAACCCTTTTCAAGCTATGGGGCCTCTGGGGCTCATGACGGGTGCGCGGGCTGTTTAACTTTCAAGCTAGCTTATACCCGCATACCCGTGCGAGTGACTGAATATGAAGCTAGAAATGAATGTTGGTACTCTAGATATTGAGTGATGCGTTCGCCCAGAGGTCCACCCCTGAATGGCAGTGTGGGGATATGTAAACTAGATCAGTTTACCTGTCTCCTCCTAAGCCTTATCCCTCGACAGCGCACAAAGTTTAGAATCTGACTGATCCCCAGGGGAGCTGGGCTTGTAGATCCTCTAACTGGTTATCGAAAACTTAAAGCATCGTGCATGGGTGTGCAACGACTGAACACAATGCTGCGGGATAATCCCGACTCCAAAGTGGGGAAACAGAGATAGTACGTTAGTTGCCCTGACATTCGGGGGCGATTCATTGAACACCTGTTCCTGTTATGAGTTGTCTGTCTTGGCCCTGAGCCATCACGTGATTTACAACTGTAAGAATTCACCCGGCGATGCCGCTATTGCTAGATACCCGCCGATGAGGGGATCGCAGTCTCACCTGCTGTACAGATTTCGTGTCCAATTCTTCACTTTATCTCCCTAGGCAAGTGGGGCGATAAATTGTTGGCTGGCGTGGGGCAGTTTCTAGGCGATCCGGGGAACCTCGAGTAATATGGTTAAAGTCTTGCCTGCGCGCAGACTGCTAGTATAGTGAGTTACGGTGCAACGCGCCTTGGATTTTGGAGTTTTTTCTTTTTCTCCCTCGTTGATCAGGGCCGGAAGTTTATTTGCGCGCGCGGGTGCCTGGTAGTTCGCGAACATCTGAGAGGGGAGGCTAGGGGCCAGGCCGGTTCTTGTGAGAACCTTATTCCTAATCTCATTAGTTTTGTTTTTGTGTAGCGGGCATCGATTATGCAGCTGAGCTATTTACTTAGAGAAGCTACGAGGCTCTCGGGCGCCGGTAATTTAGCGAGGGTCGTTTGGGGCGCTCCAGCCTACCGTATCGTAACTTACATTCACGCATGAACTTCACAAATTTGAACACTGTTGTGATGAGGCCTTGGGAAATACACTCAATTGACCGGCCATTGTCGGGTGCCGGGCTGAGATCTATGAGCATAATTGAAATTCTGAAGGTGTATCATCAGCATAATATCATATCATACTAGGTGACCTTTGGCTATGATTAGTCATGCTGGGTCAGAGCCTGTTCCAATTACCGGTAGGATGAGTGAAACCCTAACCCAGGCCCTCAGCTGAGTGCTTCTACAGTAGTGGCTTTGCCCCTCTAGGCCCTTGCATAGTATGGGGGTGCGTCGTTGGGGCGGAAGCGCCTGTAGTATAGTGTCATGAGAGGTTGTGAGAACCCCTGGTATCCCATCATACTTGGGTGTAATTTTCCCCGCAATGGCAATGTTAGGGCGGGGCAATCGAGATGACGTGCGCAGCCAATAGGCGCCTATTTCACTATCGGCACCGCTATGGAATGAGTTCGGGTCACGCGAAATAATCTTGTGTTAACCTAACCGGTGACCACAACTGCAAAGCATACTGTTTTCGAGATACCGGTAAGGTAATCGGGGCGGTGGGGGACGGGAGTCCGTGATTATAGAGTCAGTGCGTAGTTTGAACTCGGACCAGCTGCGTCTCCGGAATCTGATATGCAGTTGCGTGCTTCGCTAATTGGCTCCCTTTGAGTACTCAGTGGACAAGGCGGAGGATTCACTGTAGCCTGGTATCATCATATCGCACGGGTGCAAGTCAGAGCCTTGCCTAAGTATGCCTTCAGCTGTGGGCCTCCGTACCGAAATCTATCATTTATGATAGCTGATCCCTCAATCGGGAACTTCCACCGATAAAAATTAAGGGGTCCTAATTCCACCAACCAGCTATTCTGCCTTCTTCCTTAACTGAGTCCAACTCCCGTTACCCAGATATCCAAGAGAAGTTTGCATAAAGCTTAGTATTGAGCCAGGGCAAGGCATACCTGGTAGGGGGCCCGGCCAGGGTGCCCGGTAGGAGTGTAACAGCACTTTTCGGGTGATCTACGGGTTCTGCAAGCTTGACCGTTTTATGTCTCAAAATAAGCATAAGGGAGGCCGAGCTACCGAAAAAGCAACCACACCCTGTTATAGAGGGCCCTCCTCGCTACCTAGCTTGGCCTGCGACGTCTGAGGTCAACCAAGCCCCTTTCCTCAATATCGCTGTGTATGGTTCCCGAGGACCCAACAGAGATGTTTTTGAGGCTACGAAGCTCTTGGCAACCTCTCGCACAAGCGGCAAAGGCATTACTGAATTATTGATGTTATTCTGTTGGGTGCATTTCTAGACAGTTCTGACTCCTGAAGTGACCCTAAGGATATGGTAACGTCGTTGTTTGATAAAGGGCTCGGGCTTAGGCGCGGCGGCGCTCTCACTAGGATTGAGTCCCGACTAGGGGGAGCCGAGTTCGAAAGATCGAAGTCGCCTTGAATTTGATGTTACACATTGTGCGAAAAGAACGAGTTGGGCTGAGAAACGCCCCAGATGCATAATCACACTAAAATGCAGTCACTGGACAAAAGGCTCGGTGAAACAGAGTCTCTCTTTGTCTCTTGAATCGCCCCTCTCCACACTTACCACCAATTGCGCAATACGCTCCCCATAGTCGCACCATAACCCGCGGCTGGGTGGAATCTTGTTTCACCAATCTTTTTTGTATAGTGACTGTGCATGAAATGGCTACCAGGTCTCGTGCAAGCCAAGCTGAAATCAACTCATCTTCCTCCCCGAGGTTACCCTAGGGCAGCAGCGAATTGATGCCCACGATCAGATGATGATACTTGTACCAGCTTCGGTAACACGAACACTGAGGTCTGGGATTTTTGGTATCTCGACCGGATCAGCACTCTAAACTATTATTAGGTTAGAACTCTGCACGCTCTACAGTCTTCATCCTGACACAGTTCTACCTGCGTAACATTCTCAACTGGGAAACAATTTTAAGGGCTGCTGCTCTTGGCAAGAAGGGGCTAGTCGGTGACCAAAATGCCCTTCGTGGGATTGGCTAATCTCCCCATCAATGGCTGGGACAGTGTGTGTTTTGCAAAATTATTTGAGGCTGCGTTGCCCCCCGGATGACCTATTATTCGAAAGCTGAGAGTTGTGATACACGATAACCTATATACGTGGACATCCAATGAGTGACCCTTCGAGCATCTAGGGGTCTTTGAGGTAGCGGTGTAACGATCGGTCAAAGAGCACTATGAAAGGGTTGTGCGTATAGCTGTGCTGACCTATCGATAAGGGGGTATTTTGGAATTGGGTAAAGTGTTGGATGGTTTCTACCCTCCTGGTGGAATGATCATTCACCACCCCTTAACCACAGAACCTGCGTGTTGGGCCATGATCGAAAAGTGCGATGGTGAAATAATATTTCTCACCTCCCATAGTAATAACATAATACAAACAAAAAATAAGCGCCGAATAGGGTCGACTGAACATATTATTAGCATCTCGGTGGGTTGGAGGTTGGTTATCAGAGCCTGTACAGTACCGCCGTGTTCGTGTGTTTACGCGAGCACACAAGTTTGGAAGCACCTCCTCTACCTACAAACTAACCAACTAACCGAGGGAAGCACCCAACAGTCACAAAATCACCACCTTTGCTGGTCCTTCAGCTGGGTTTTTGATTTGGGGTGGTCCAAGGTGGGTTACGCCCGCGGCTCCCCAGAAATGCCTAGAAACAAGAGAAACAGGATTCTCTCGCCAATCGGGCCTATTTCAGGCATCGCTCCAAGGACAATGCCTACGCCTAAACAACCTGGGGTGCAGACGTAAGTATCTCAATTGGTTCAAACTATGTTCATCCCTCATTAATAACCCTTTATAATAGCAAGACGGAGCGATCCAAGCTAATATCTACTCCGCGTAAACGCCGAGCTGCACTATCAGCGGCTGCCCCTGAGATAGTTGCCCTCCAGAGTAGCCCTACCGAGCAATCAGATCTAGCCTCTTCTCCCTATTCTGTGGTTGGGTCGATTCCTAGCGAAGCTACCGAACCGCCTTGTTTCCCCTCCGCAAAAGACCTTGTGCAGGTATCAGAACTAAACCACCCATTAGCATCCCCTGAGGACATCTGCGAAGATCAAAGCGGTCGCCATCCACTGATATCTCTCCCGAGAGAATGTGGGAAGGATCCGAATTTTGCGGGAATCCACTCTGGACAAAATGCTCCCATGCCTTCTTGCCAAGGTGAGGGACCTCTATACCTGGGCGCACAGGGAACATTGTTCCATTCGCCAGGTGAAAGTAATTCAGACTCAAATTACGATCATAAGAGAAATAATCCTTCTCCCTTCCATCCGGGCGTACAAGCTCCCGCAAATTTCGGAAATCAGCCAGGAGAAGTTTCTCTGGAAGTTTCTACTGGCCAGCTCTCTCGATTGGGGTTCCCTACAGGTAATGAAGGTTCTGGACTGAGAACTCGGGTTCCCTCCGGATCCGCGCAGCCTCGGGCTGGTACTGGGGTCTCAACACATCGTGATCCAACGGGACTTATTAGCTCTGAGAATGAGCTCATCGTGGATCACTCGGAGGAAACGCCCGGTCTAGCCTCCCAAACATGTCCACAGGCAACTCCTGAGATCACATATCAGACCGGTTCACTTACTCATCTACTTCAACCGGTACACGGTATGCTCCGGGAGCCCCCAGGTGATTTGGCTTCCTCCCCGGTGTTTACACCCAGTGGGAAAAATCCATCACCGAGAGGGGTGTTTCTACAAATGGAGGATATACCAAGAGAGACATATCAGTTTGAAGCAGAGTGGCCAAATCCTTTCCCCTCTGCTACTTTAAACCTCGATGCCCTTGGGAAATACTCACCACAGATGCCGTTATTTCATGGGGTTCCCTCCTCTGGGATCGCCAGTCCGGGAATGGCGTCAGAGGTCCATTCGTTCGGCCAAGCTGCTCCTGATTCGCAGCCCACCCCCTACAGGAATTTATTCCCTATTATAAGCCCATCCAGTGGGTATTCTTCAATTGAGTCTTGCGCGTTGACTGGGCAACCGTGCGCACCTATTGGCAAGAGAGGCCTTCAAGATTACGAAGGCTCTGTCGGTGAGAGCGAGGACCAGGATGTGATACTACTTAACTCCCACGCCGGTGTTTTCTCGGATTTTCCCACGGGGCACGGTACTATTCATTCCGCTCCTGCAATAAGAAAATGCGAGTGGGTAGATATCTCTGATCCTGGGGGAGAGGAGGACGGTGAAGAGGCGCACCAAAATCTTCCACGTAGTTGGTGGAAAGCGAGCGCTTTTAGCAGTCCTCTTGAAGCCTTAAACGAGCCCGTCGATGAAGAAATCCTAAGAGGAAATGACACTGCTTACAAGCACTCCGAGGACCTTTGCAAGCTCTTAAATGCTCCTAGTTACCAAGCAATTGATAGCATCCCTGGTGTTGGTCAGAGCTGGTGCAGGATTAAGCTTCCCGTTGTTACCTTCCGAGGTCCTTGGCAAGATATACCTAACCCCGACGAAGATGCTATGAGTGGGAAATACTATGGGCAGATTCTGTATTCCTGGACCCCGTCAAAACGCCCGCCAATTCAACCCAACCTCCCTGGTCTTACTGCCCTCTGTTTACCTGTATCCAATGGCACGGCGGCCATGCCCGAAAGGCATCAGCAGGTGGCCAAACCCTTGAGTATCATAGAGAGACGCATGGCGAAGCAGAGGGCTGGAGTTCGTAAGAGTTCAAGGACGAAGAACCCATCGTTAAAAATGTAGCTTCTAAGGTGCATTTTTTGCAAGAATATGCAGCGGGGGATTGAATTTTTTCTCAGACTCTCAAGGTTCAAGGGGGTAGAATTATCTTAGTCGAAAATAAACCCTTTCGTTTAGAAATCAATTCTTTTTCCTCCCTTCCGTTGAATCAGTGACATTTCGGAGGAGAGAAAAGAGAAAAGAAAGAAAAGGGCCCGGTATTCCTGGTGCCTTTGGTGCCTGCCGAAATTTCTGGCAATCTAAACCTCTCACGGTGATTGTCGAAACCAGGAGAACGATTAAGGGATACCGCAACTCTTTCCTTCTTTTTTTTTTTTTTTTTTTTAAAGAAATCCTACTATTGGGCGAATAACACTGGTTCTGTGGCCGTCCTGTAGCTCGCTAGAATGAAGTTTATTGAAGCCTATTCGCTTACATTGTTTTATGCTCGGCGGATTTTGTCGAGCAATCCTTTGTATCATACTACCAATACGAAATGATTGCAAATGTGAAAATCAAACATAAGAGGCAGGGAGGCAAAGAAAAAAAAGAAAGAAAAAAGAAGTACTATAGTAACATAACTATCCTAAAGCTCGCGGTCAATGTCTCCGAATCATCTGCTGTACTATTCTCATCTCCTGAGCCACCCACTCTCCAACAACAGTCTACCTGTATCCTAACCAAACTCTTACGATAACTGCTACGGTAACTGTCCAGGCAATAAGTCGTTCGAGGGAAAAGATTAAAAATATGAGAAAGATAAGAAAGATGAAAAGAAAAAAAGAAAAAAAAAGAAGTGCTAATTAATTTGGCAAATGTGTAAAGTAAGAATGGAAAGGAAGTAAAAGCACAAAGACTTGAGAGCAAACGGAATATCCCCCCGGTTCGAGTAGCGGCCGCTTCCCCTCCGTTACCTCCTCTACCTATCTATCCATCCATTCCATTGTTCGCTCCCCTCGCCTCTCGCTTTACTCCCCCCCTTCCCTTCTTATTCTTAACCTCGGATTTGGCTGCGAGGGGGACAAACGGCTCAAGTATCCCCCTCCGGTTGGAACGCAAGATCTAGGGCGAGGAAAAGGAGCGAGCAGAACATAATCGCTTTGAACCAATCAGGATGTGTGATGGCTTCTGGAGCCTTTTGCTTGAGCGATGCGGTCACTAGTTCCCCATCCTGTTCAATGATGACGGGAATGGGGATCTGATGAATGAGTGGCTCTAGTGGTGTCTGTAGAGGTTAGTGTGTTGTAACTGTGGTGTCTGGATTGGTGTAAGTCATACTTTAACTTTCTCTATGGCAATGGAGGCGGTGGTTTGTTCAAGGGTACCAGGGGATTCGCAAGGGAGAGTGGAAAAATGAGGTTGTGGCGGTGGCGGTTGTGGGTGTGGGTGTGGCTCAGTGTTAGATATGTTCATCTTTGCCTTGTTCTTCTTCCTGTGTTTGTGTTTTCTGGTGGCGGGTGGTTGGGGTTGTGTTTCGGGTGCGGAATGGGTTTGCGCTGGGAGGTCTTCTACATCGGTAGATATATCTATGCTGCTAATTTTAGTAGAAGTAATCTGGGCAGAAGAGCTAATAGTTTCGCTTGTAGCAGTGACTTCAGGATCTTCGGTTTGCACTCCGAAACTCCGAGTAGAAGCTATTTCGATGGCTTCAGTCTGGGAACTAGCAGTTGAGGTCTCTGTAACAATCAATTGATCCTGGGCGGGCTCAGGGCAGACCTGAATGCTAGAGTCCCGCACACTTAATCTTGGGATGATGGTCTGGGCATTGGTACCGGTCGCGGTAGTATTCTGTGCTCCAACTTTTGCTTCTTTGTTAGCTTCCCCATAACTCTCATCACGAGGCTCCTCTCCCATCCCTCTGGTGGCTTCCCCTTCCGCCGAACTATCGCCGGAAACTCCGGGGCCATTGACCGCCCAAGCAGGTGAATGGGTAGCGCCCCTAGCATCCAACCCGCTACCGTGTACAGGCCACCAACCAACATTCGACTTCCCTTCCATTGCCAGGTACTGCCGCCGAAAGTTTTCAAACATCACCATAGCAGAATTATACACTACGTGATCGATCGCGGCTACCGCCCTAGGATCGACAAAAATCCCACCGCAGGTGGCTGCATGAGAAGCGGATGGGCAGAACAGATGATGCGGTATCTGTGGTTTTTGCTCTGAGAAGTACGGGTAAGGACCCCAATTGGGCTCGTATGTTGGGCACACCTGTTGTTGGCACCCCAGTGACGACCCCTGTGTCATAGGGGTGGGTGGAGGGGGAACTGGCGGGATAAATAGTCCGGGGGGGTACGAGCGAGGGAGTATTGGTGGATCTTCTGCGTAAAAATTTATTTGTGGGCGGGCCTTATTCGCGGAGGTGTTGATATTCCCTGCGTCATTCTTGTAGGCCTCCCGGAGGTTTTGGTTCAACACTTTAAGACGTTCTGCCCAACTCAGTCCGTGGTAGATATTCTCTGGATGAGGGGCTGAAGAGGCAGGCTCTGAAGTGGGGTTCTCTATGGTGGGAATAGATACGTTAGGTTTCTGGGAATTAATACCCTCTGAGTCGCGGTCCTTGTCGTTTAGGCTAACAGAGGGGAGAATCGAATAGCAAGGTTCAAGTTCCAGAGAACTGATAGCCTTCTTTCCAACTGCCTCTTCGGCGATTGTCTCTTCAACAATGTCCTCTGGAATGCCACTCGCCATAGCGTCGGATTGAATAGAAGAGAATGTAGTATTAGTGGCAATTGTAGATGATTCATCCCTTTCCGCGTACACCCCTTGCAATCTCCAATTGAGCATCGCAAGAGAATCCCTCCAATCCAGTCCGCGATAAACGGCAATGAAAGAATTATGGCTAAAATCTCCGGTCCCTGGAGTACCAGTCCCATTTTGGGTAGTCCCTTCAATAACTACTTCCACTTCATTAGTCCCTTCAATCCAATATCCAATGGAGGATGTAGGTATTTCCGGGCTGCTCCTACCAGGCCTCAATGGGGAAGAACCATAGACTAATCCCCTGCGGCCGGACCTGTTAACGCGGCGTTTGTCGTGAGACCAGAGGTCTTGGATGTTGATCGAGCGGAGATTTTGGGAGGGGATTTCGTGAGAAGGGCTTGCTTGATTATTTGTATTGATAGCCATGGTGGATTGATTATACTGGAGCTGAAGAAGAAAAAGGGTTATCAGCCTGAGATGGTACGAAAGATGTTTCAGTAACGTTCAGTTGAAGTTTGAAAGGAAAATTTAGAAGGATGATGCGGTGGATGGTAGGATCGTTTTCTTATTATGAGGGGAGATGGAAGGGAGGAAGGGAAGAAGGATTGACAAAAGGAGGCACCTTCAGGATGGGAGGTGGAAGGTGTGTTGAAAAGTAATTATGATATTATGTGGAAGGTTTTTCTGATAGGACTGCTCTGTAGGGTTTCTGAGAAAGTGGTTGTAGAGGGTGAGTACTACCAAGTCGTGATAGAGGTGAGGGCTGGGCAATAAATACTAGTTCACAACCCAACCACAACTTAGAATGTTCAGGGTTCAATGGGTGGTATAAAAAACTGCCAACGAACCGCCAACTCTAACAATTGAATGCGACTCCATCAAGGTGAGTGCTTTCAATAGCTTTTACATTTCTCCCCATTGTGATTCAATCCCAAAATATATATATATAAGAGCAGCCAAAGGCGCACCGGAACCTATTCAAGGCCTTCAGTTGTTCTTGATTTGGGTTTTCGGCCGCCAGAAGTGCTGGAATACTCTGTCCTTTGAACCATTGGTTCATTTGGTGATGGAAACCACAAAAAAAATATGGACACAGAGCCGTTATAATTATCCCAAAACCCCCACCCTCAAATCGTCGGAGTATTTCGTGTCAATGAGAATATCTCGTCTCGATTTTAGGAAGTGTCATCATGAAAACTCACTCGTGCCAAGACTCACCCACCCGTAGAAGTTTTTTGGTAATCCCAGAAAAGCTAGAAGTCACCAGATTTGGAGGCCTTCTGGACAGTGGGTTATGATTGCCCAACCACTATGAGCGGAAACAGCATAGAAGGGATTAGAAGTGATTTGGGGTGCGGCTTGCTATAATGCCACGTAGATAAAAAAAGACTGGGTTCTTTTTTTTTTCTTTCCATTCTCTTGGAACAGCGAGAATGGATAATTTCCCCCAAGTCACAGTACCTACCAAGACTAGGGTCCCCGTAGGAAAGGTACCGGATATATCCTAGCGATTTTTGTATGGGAAGCTGTGTTTTTTTTATGCTATTTCTCAACCATGATCAGATGGTCCTAGTGGCCAAAACAGCACTATATTTCCCTACCCCCGCGCTTTTGTGTATGAAAAGTCGACACAGCGCCAAAGGGCTTGTACCTAGTGTCTTCTGTACTTTCAGGTGACCCAGGGGGAACATTCAACCACTTGAAGTTGGCTACTTTTGGTGTGGTATTGAATACTCCCGGTGATAGCTGTCTCTAGCCTCTTACGCCGCTGGAGACAAAAAATGGTGAGCGAAGTGGGCATAAGAACCCAAACCATGCTACTTTAGGCTTTCACCCAAATACGTTCTAAAGCTGTAAAGGGATTGAAAGATTGATAATATGGTTCCAAGAATCCATAGATTATTAAAGAGTTGTTCATTACTTTGGCAAGCAATATTGTGAGATCGAAATTTAAAAAAGCGCCATTCTCTTATCATACAAAATCTTTAGGAAATGCGCCAAAACAAATTCACAAACTATTAATATCTTTGCCCGTGCGACGACATACCCCAATAGATGGATTCCAGCAGCTGCCCCCCCCCTCTTAAAAAGCCAGGAATCCTTGTCTTTTATCAATACAATTGGAATCTTCCGTGAATCCTCAATTTTTTTCATTCTCTGTAATCACGGTACTCTCTAGTTTTTAAAAGCATGGTTTCCGAGAAAAAATTACCTGTACTCTGTGGTGAAGCTCGATTGACGTGATTCTAGGAATAATGGCAAAGCAAAACATAACACCTAGGGAAATCCATCTGATCAAATCGCTCTAGCTAGCGACTTAACCTCGATCAGGTTCTACTTTCCCAACGGTTCTGCTCGTTACCATCTTTCCACTCCTTCTCGACATATCCCAGATCTCGTTTCACCCTCTCGACAGTAGCATGGTCCCCAGTATTCTTCGAGAGATTATCGCTGATCTTCACTGCGGGCTTACCATTCGCAGAATTGATTTTAATGACGATGTTTAAAGGCCAGGACCTCCGACCCGGATTACTCAAGTGCGCAAAGTCATCTGAACAGTTAGCAGCTGAATAATGCTAGAAATAAGTGGGAATATACTTGTCAGAAAAGTTCCGACACCAAAGCTAGGCATAAAACCCTCCCTCTCAGCGAACTCCTTATACTTTAGGCAGAGATCAACGTCCAGACTATCTGAAAACACGATTGTTTTCTTTGACTTGATCCCTTGCTCATCATAGAACCTGCGCATGCGCTTGACAAATTCCTCTGGGTCACCGGAGTCCTGACGGACCCCGGCAAATATCTCAGCGTAGGGCTTGCCAGATGGAGGATATTCCAAGGCAAAGTTTGTAAGGAAGTGCGGGGTACCAAAGGTGTCGGTGAGCGCAATTGAGAGAACCTAATGCATTAACAAAGTCAGGCACAATTCTATACAAGAATACCAAAACCGGATACTTACTCCTTCGCCAAAGCAATCGATCCATTGTCGGAGGCCGATCTCATTGGCACGGGTATAATCGCCTGTAATTGCAGCAATTCCCATAAACCATTCGTGCGCAACAGTTCCGATAGGATTGAGCCCCATCCTAAAAAAATTGAGCACGTAATTTCAGCACATTGCAATGCCCGCCCCTCTGCCAAGATGTGACAGGCGATGAAAAATCGTGCGCAAACCTATGGGCAAAGTGAACATTACTAGTTCCCAATAATTTGCCCCTTCCTCCCCCACTTTTCTCATAATGCGCCATCGCACGAACCAATCCATTCAACACGAGTTCTTGGGTATCTACCGACCTTCCAGTAAAAAAATATACGCCGGGCGAGATGGCCCATACTTACGATAGCTTCTTCGCCGCCTCGTCCCAAACTCCGAAAGCAAACATCCGTTCTTGAGGAGCTGCAGGCCCTTTGCAAACGCCTTCTCCTCCTGGCCTTCGTAGTTCCAATCCGTATTGGAGAATTTGAAGTACGCCTCGCTAACTAGGACCAACAACGGAATCTCGTAGAGAATCGTCTCCGACCATTTGCCTTTGATGTCTATTCTCACATCACCCTTCGCACAACCGTCAGCCTTGGAATAACAAGGTTGAGACATCGCATACAAATTCGACCTTCTCCTCCAACCCCCCATTCTCTTCATTCGCCATACGGTCGGAAACGCCTGCATCAGGCGTAAAGGCGAGCACAAGTTGATCATCCGGTTTGAAGCTGAACTTCCCGAGGTAGGCGAGGTAGGTTTTCGGAAGATAAGGACAGGCGCTCTGCAGGAACTCAAGCTCCGCCTGCGAGAGACGAAGTCGTCCCAATTCTAATCGTCCTAGGTCAGCGGAGCAGCCAGAGGATCACAAGCTGCGGGGAATTCCTACTCGCGGCCTGAGCCTTGATCCAATCGAAGCCTTCGCGTGACAACTTTAGGTCGGATGTCCGATTTGTGTAGGCATACGTTACATCTGCCGAACATATCGTCAGTTTCAACCCTGGCCAACGAACGGGAAAAACAAACCGACGTCAGGATAGCAGCTTAAAACAGCGCATTGCATAGTAAGTTTATACAGATCAGTGTCAACCAGGGAGAAAATACCCTCCACCACTTCGGTCCCACGGGGAGGTTTGTTCGACATTATTGACACCGGTTGCGACTCTATAAACTCGGGGGGAGGACGAGAATCGATGAGGCTTGATTTCTAATAACTTGGGTTGTGAGAGCGGTCAGTGGTAGGAGGCTCTCAACTGGCGTGCCGATGGGGGAGAAAGATGGCCCACTTTTACTGATGAATAATCATCTCTTAAGATGGGCAACTGACAGGGGTATCTCTTGGCGATGCACTAACCCGAGATTGACGTCAAGTTCCAGCAGCCAAGCCCGAGCCAAGTACCAACCCGTCCTCAAATAAGATAACGCTTTGTAAACATACGAGCACTAAGGGGGTGTTTGGCCCGTCCCTGATTTTGATTTCAGATCAGGTCTTGGCAATTTTAACTGAAATTATTCGGAATGTTAAACTTAATCCTATCTTGTTTTACCTCTTATAATTTGCGTTAAAATTGCCAAGACCTGATCTCAAATCAAAATCAGGGACGGGCCAAACATCCCCTAAATCTTGATCGGAACCTGATAGTACACTCATGTCTCATAAATTTTCATACCCCCCCCCCCCCCACGGTAAGAGAAAGGAACACCTAGCACATGTTTGATATTTATTTCTCACTTATGAAAAAAATTCAAAAAAATAAGAACCAAGTCTAAATAATATTTACTTTTCTAGAATTGATTCTAGTAAAAAAAAAAAAAAAGAGTATGAAATAAACCTGTGAACTAGCATTTTATAATAGATAACCTTTTATCTTATATTAGGTATAAAAATAGTGGTTACCTTAAGAATACCAACAAATCTACCATATACATCCAGATTCTAGATTTAAATTATATATTAATACATATATCTGGGTAGCAATAAAATATAAAGACATATTATTTACATATATGATTAGTATAATATATAGAAATTAGTATGAGATAAGAAATAAAGAATATAATCACAATTTCTATAGAAATAAATAAGAAAATATTTGAATTTATTAATAGTCTATACATTCTTGTAACGGGCCGGGTCTGAGGGTCGGGTAGCCCAAGGCACACCATGACAGGGACAGGCAAGAGTTCGGAGACGAGGTCTAGGGATAGGAGTACTGTAACCGGAGCTGGTACTAGGTTAAAGTTATGTTTTATGTTTTGTTTTAAGTATC